ATTTTTAAAGTTAGCTTTGAATGCCGTTCCAATGCAGTATTCATTTAATAGTAGAAGCTTTATATGTCATGATGTCTAAATATGGAATTATAGTATCTTTGCCTTTGCTCGAATGAAAATAAAATGCAAAAATAAAAGTTAAAATGGTGCCCTAAAACTGTCATGTCTTAAAGAAAAACAAGAAAAAACTTCCTGTTGCAGAAACTATCACACAAAGTGCAAACTCCAAATAGGTTAGCAACTTTGCAATACAACCAGAGGTCAAACAAGCATTTGATTGTATGGACAATACACTATACCACACATTATAATCAACGGTCATGTTAACTCTCAGCACTCAATGACATCAACTGGATCAAAATGTGTTATAGGTCACTTTAATGGCAGGTTCTATGGACATAAAAAAAATACTACAGACTTCTTGCCTCATTGAATTTGACATGTATCATGTGTAATTCAACAAAAATAATATACAAGTATTTTTGTTAGGGAGAACATTTCTAAATACCTTTCATCATATTTAATTTGAGATCCTTTATTATTTGTTAGACACCTTTCATTGACTATACAGTAGAGAACTAGATAAACCAAACAATAAAGCTAAACTTCTCATTAAAATTTTCTGTTTTCATGACCTCTTCGGGTTCTGTATTTTAGCCTTATAGAGTAGCAATACAATAAAAGCAGTAGGTGAAGCTTGGGAACATTTTCTCTTGCACAATATCCATTACACTAGTGCCCCCAGCGGTGTGTCCTCTCTTCACGTCTCTTCTCCCTGAACAGAAATGACTTCACCTCGGCTGACCTGTCTGTGAAACGCCTAAGGTTTGCAGATGGCACCACTGTCGATCTGATCCTGACCAGCAGCAAGACTGTAGACAGCAAGTATTTGGCCAGGCTGGTCCAAAGTCTTGTTGCTGAATATCCTATAGTATATAATGAAACCAAACACTAACTTTTCACCACAATATCGAAATGTAAATTTTGCACAAATGCAATGTGCCACAGAAGAACACCAAACTCACTTTGAAACAGATCCCTTATCCCTTTTATTGTTCTTACAAAAAAAAACAAAAAACAAAAAAAACTGCCAAACCAAAAATGGAATAGCTTCAACTAAACAAAAGTAACGTTTTGGAATAACAAGCCAGAGTGCAGAAATGCAATTGTCTGAAAATATGTGAGGTCACCTAATGAGTGCAGAAGACAAGAGATGACCTCCTAACACAACAGTTGCATATGCAGGGTGAATATATCAATCAAAATGTGCAACACCTACTGTATGGACTTCTGCTAAAGAACGCTTAATGTTAACATGCTTCAGCATGGTGCAAATCTTGTGGACTGAGTCAAATAAATATGTATTAATGTACAAAATTTAGTATCAATGTACAAAGACGGCCAAGATATTGAGGTATTTTAGCAGTACTTATAGACTAAGTCCTCGTTATGCATTATATTCCTCATTCTTGCATTCATTCTTCATTGTAGGCCCACTCTTTTTGTTCCCTCATTTTAAGAAAACAAATAAAGGATTTTAAAACCTGTTGTCTTAATTGATAAAAACCAGTTATCTCATAGATACATAAGAATAAATGTAGTCTTTCGTTTGTAAAAGTACCTTTATAGATTATTCTGTATAATATGCTGATCGTTTTCATTTACAGTATTGCTGCAATAATAATACAAATACATTTTAAGCTTAACAGCCCCTGTATTTCCTCCTAAGCATCTCTGCAATGGCGTGTCGTATACCAGCATGTCCCATTGCTCTCAGCGTCACCAGTTCCTCTCTCGAGCATGTAACAAAACCAGCTCAGTGTTGCATGTTCAATGAAAAGTTAAAATCGTCCCACAGTTGGAAAACAGTAGAATAAATTAGAAGGTATAAAAGAACTGAAAAAAGGTTAAAAAGAGCAAACAAAGAGTCGAAACTAGAGAGCTACTACAAACTCTGCTTTACTTCCACTTAATGCTAGATTTTATTGTGCTAATTCTATAGATGAATTTTCTTTCCAAGATGGCTTAGCCTTTATACTCCAAACCATTTTATATTCCAGTATTTTTTCTTCTTGGTCTTATTTTAAACACATTTTCTGATTATTCTACTGTGTAATCTCTTTCACGGAAATATGTATATAGTCCACCCTGAGTGAAAACTGTAATTAAGTTAAGATCAATCATGAGGTAACTATGGACATTCATGTGAATAACAATTAAATATTCTCATTGTTTAACAGGTGTAGTTGCACATGAATGTGATATGCTGAGTTACAGGTAATTTTCTAATTTTTTTGCTGTATAATGGTAAGGATGTAGGGTGTAAACAATTTATTGGGTAGCAACACGTTTACACTTAGGGTACTCAAGTATCTAGCCCTGTCCCTGCTCGTATTTCCTATTGTTTGTATTTGATCTGTATGGGCACTGGATCAACCACAATAAAGACAAACTTTGTTTTCCATGGACTAATGGTACAGACCATAAAACTATCTTACTCAGACACAATTCTCTGTGTGTCTGATTTGTCAGTATCGTGGGGACTGATCGATCACATTTTGCAGGTGAGTTACCAATTTGTGAGCTTAGCTTTAATGTGCATTCTGACCATATCCTCGCTTAACCCACTTCATTCATCCCCACATGTTTTGTGGTCTCTTTGGTGACAATTTTTTTCAACATTTTCAGTTATGCTTTTTCATTAAAGTTAGTTAGACAGATGGCACACATATGGGAGTATGAAGAAAGGCATTGAGTCAAGGTGAATAGAATAGAAATAGCCTTTATTGTGCTAGCAAATGTATCACATAAAAACAGGGGCAAATATATAAAAACTAAGAAACTTTCTGACATGCCAAGCAGAAAATTTAGCTTTGCTGGAGCAGTGTTACAGGTGTTAAAGGACAGTACCACTACTGTAGTTACAAACCCCTTTTCTAAATGTACGAGGAACACAAAAATGAAATGAAAAATTTATGCAAAAAGTGGCAAAAAAGGAAAATGATGAAAACACAATTTCCAAAGAAGAACAACACACAAGCACCTTGGGATTGAAAAACATTTTTATAAATGTAGTTATATTGTGTGCTCTATGAAAAACCAGTGCAAACCACTTACCTGCGTGTCTAAGGGATAGCCAGTAGTTTAACTTTAATTTATTGTTGTTTTTTTGTTAGAACAGGGGTTCTAATTTTTTATAAAATGAAAAAATTGTGCTTAAAAAGAATATTCCTCGATAATTACTGATATCAATATGTTAAATGTGTGAAAACATGTCAAATTAAAATATATGTTATTTCTTATTAGAATAATTGTTAACAAATAAAAACATAATTGAGGTATTATATATACAATTATTAGTAAAAATTTGACAAATTTTATAACATTTTGAGAAAGTATCACTGCAACATCTAATCAAAACCTTAACAATTCTGATTAAATTTTAAATAAGCAGGCTTTATAATTTAAACTTCACTTCTGTAGTTTATCAGCATGTTAGAAACTAATTATCAGGCATCAATTATTTTCTGTTTAACTAAGAGTTTTATGACAAAGAAGCCCACTCCTAAAAAATTTAAAAACAACAGAGCATGCCAGAGCATTCACTAAGACAGATGCAACTACATTTCACAAGCCAGGAAATGATTAAGGAACAAACTTAACAAAAATAAATCAATGAAATAGAGGAGAAAACAAAGCTGTACCTAGATCCAAGTTTATATCTGTCAACATGCACAGTAAGAAAAGATGCACATATCTCCAGAGCTCACTGCAGGATGAGGGTTGATGGGTCTCTATAGCAGACATTAAACACCATCTAAAGCAGCCATTGTTTAAAATAAAACTTTCTCCTACCATCACAGCTGCTTATATGCAGTGTCCTTAAAACTACTTTAAATGTATCTTGCAAAACACAGACATATGAAAGACACCTTGTAATAAATATTCTTCAGGATCTTTGGCATTAATCAATATGTGGTGTTACAGCAAATAAAATGATGTGAAAAGTTAGAAAAGATTATAAACATTTGAAAGAAAATAGAAAATTGTATTAGGAAAAAAATACAATAGTTAAGAATATAACCATTAAAAAGTTTCTTTAAAAAACTATTGATGTTGTACTAAAAGTTCCTTTTTCTTTTGTTATTTTTGAAAGTTTTGCTTGTTTTATTGAACAAACCTTAGGGTTACTATTAAAATGAGGGAAGTGAGCTGTAGGTGCTTTAACGTAAGTCATTATTCCCACATAAATTAATCATGGAAATAAAGAAGCTGAAAACTTTGCATTCCAGTCTGCATCCATCTTCCATCACAAAAAGATCAAATGTGATCTTGACTTTCTGCTTCCATGCCCGAGTGTGTTAAGAGATTGTATTAGCATGAGGATACCTCCAGCCTTGATGAATCATTCTGTTTCAAGCAGGCCTAAAAAGGAAACAAGCATTCAGCTATACAGCAGATATTATGTCAAAATTGCTTTTTTTTTAGTTTCAACAAAGGTTCCAATTTAAGAAAAGGAGATGAAATAGCATAAAATATTTTATAAATGTCAAATTCATTTTAAATGAGAGAGAACAATAGGCAAAATTAATTTTAATCTCAAATAGAAAAGGTATTTCCATTTTGGTATATCAATCAGCTGTGACATAATAGATATAAATGACTCTGTTCTGCGCCTTTTCCAGCTTCTCATCACAGGTATGCTGGAAAACTTGTCTAAGATGATGAAAACTTGTAAGTAACGTAAGAAGGTTGATTAAATATTGAAATTAGGTAGTGGAAGACAGGGATGTGCATTGAAATCCCCCTGGAGGTGAACAAAAACACTGCGCTGGTGAGAGTTTGGGGCGCGCTGAGACGCAGAGGATCTTTTTCTCCAGCCCAGCAGAGATCTACTGGAAAACGATGATAACAACCAGAAGGCTGTGCGCTTCTGTGAAGATTGGGCACCCTAACTTTTTGCTTAACTCGTTTTACTGAGAACTGACCTCGCTTGAGTTCCTCTGGCAGACGGACATATGCGCACGGTGCCACAGAAAAACCACCCCTATCCACATGGGCTGATCTGTCTCACTTTATAATCTGTACTATTATTCTCTGCAGGCTCTCACCGTAGACCGACAGTAGAGGAAAACTCCGATGGAAAACCATGCAGCACTTTGAACCCATGGAGACATGGCGCAAAGACTCCTCACATCTGCAAATAGAGTCAGCGCTAGATTCGCCTTCATATTTACTTTGTCCCTATCCTGTGCGTATCTATGCTATAATATCATTTTTTATCGCGGCACACTCATGACAAGCCAGGGTTACGAAGGGAAGCGCTGCCCGCCGAGCAAAAACGCTGGAGGGAAGAAACTTCTTGGGAAACTGGACAATTGTGCTTCCCTGGATGTCAGGTCGGCTTTTCAGCAGCGAGGATCGAGTGATCCCAGGGATCAGAGTAAAACCTCGTCTTCGCCTCGCGCTGAGGTGAATTTGAAAAACATAACTGTTGCGCAGAAATACGGTAACAAGAAGCTACCCAATGCATTGATAGTAGGCGTAAAGAAAGGGGGAACCAGGGCGGTTCTGGAGTTCATCCGGATACATCCAGATGTTCGCGCACTCGGAACAGAGCCACACTTTTTTGACAGAAACTATGACAGAGGACTGGACTGGTACAGGTGAGGGAAATGTGTTTTATTTTCTCTCTTCTTACGAGGTATAATGATCTGAAGCAGATATTTAAAATCCCAAAGGCTTCATTTAGGAAAAACAAACTTGAAAGGTTTCCTGATATAATTAAATGGCTCTCCACTCTGACACTCATGCAACCCCTTTAAGTGTCTCCTGCTTAACTCTACACTGACTAAGTTTCATGTCACGTTATAGATTACATTGTGGATGTCAGTGGTTTTTCAGCAGATCTTGGTTTCCCCAATTATCATCTGACTTCTAATATATCAAACCCGTGCCCCACCTAAACTATGAAGTTATTCACTGAATTTTGGGTTTAGCTGTTGAGTGGATGGATGGATGGATGGAAGGATTTGCACCTTTTGCACTCAGTTTGCAATCGATTTATAACTATATCTTATTTATGTATCTATGAAATTAAGTGAAATAAGTTAAATCCTGTTGATTTTTTTTTTAATACTAGAACTTTAAAACATATCCACAGAGAAAGGCCTCAGGCTGGAATTAAAACCACTTCTCCATGCAATGTTACAAACTACATCACCAGCCAGGTTCCTTCTACTGATGCTTCAACCTTATAAATGCTTTCTATACAGTTAGATAATTAAATCATTTCAAACCTAGCCCTGTTCTCTTGTTGCAAGGTTATTTGGCTAGGAATAGCCAGCAAAGCTATGAGTCCCTGGAACACATTGCAATGAGAAAAAAATCTGTTGGGAAATTATATGAATGATTTTTGTGTAGGATTTACTATTAGCAAATAAAGTGGGATTTACCCATCCTATTCTAGCTCATTGAATTTTATGGACTGCATTTACCATAAATAAAAAAAGTTATTAGAATATATATATATATTTTTTTTTTACTACATGTGTAATATGTGAGTGATCAATAATAATTGAAACAAACTTTTCAATATCTTAATTTTCTAAGACACACAGTTTTTGAAAATGCAGAAAACATAAATATCAAATGTTGAACATAACTAATATGGCAAAAAGAACAAGTTTATAGTTAAAAATTAAATTTTTCTATCAATGATTTGTTAATAGTATCAACTGTTGTACTTTTTTTTCTAAGTGAGAATTTAATGTAAATCATGAATTAAGGTTTGATCAGAAAATAATTTTAAAAAACTGTTAACAGTACAATAGATATGTTTTATACATACTGTATTAGCTATTATAAACTAACCTTGCCAGCCATACTGACTTACATTGTGTACACTGCATATCAGTCTGGATACGAGCATGCACAGGTGAGTCCAGCAGAACTAATGTGTTTAAAGGCGGAACTCACAGTGTCAGCAGAAAAAAAGTTTAGAACCAGTTAAATACCTATAGATGTGATGTAAAGTTTCAAAGCTCTGATAGTTTCTTTTTGTTGAAATTTGAAAATCCTATCCAGCTCTTTTGGAACATCAATAAAACATTGCTCTATTGTAGTTCTAATCTTGACTGTTATGCTTACAGAAAATGACTGCTGCATTATTGGCCCACATCCTGCGCTCTGATTGGTCTGGTCAGTTTAAAACATGGGAGTATTGAGCCTTACCGGAAAAAATTGCGCCCTGTATCAGCCCATCTAGCAGGGCAGTTAGTTATGAAAGTTCCTTTATAAAAGTAAGGTTGTAGTAGTCATGCTTTTGCAAGAAAATCTCAGGGAAACATACATGTGCATATTAAGTACAGAAACAATACATTTTATATGCTAATATCAAGAAATGTTGGTCTTCGTGCAATCAAATGATTTACCCACCAGCCAAAATAAGATGATGCTCTGTCATGTTCATATTCTTTAAGAAAATGTTGCTATTTTGGTATGAATCTTAACTTTGTGTCAGAGCAATAGACCAAAGAAGTGTTATGAACGTGAACTAAAAATATGATGAACTTAGATTAATTTAGACATTCAACGTTTCTGGCGTTTTTTTATTGTCAGCATTTTTATTTTCATTACACTGTCACAAGTCGAGAGCAATGAAATGAACTCTCTGCATTTAACCCATCCCCTTGGGGAGCAGTGGGATGCCATTGTATGGCGCCCGGGGAGCAGTGTGGGGGTTAAGGGTCTTGCTCAGGGAGCCAGAGTGGCAGTGTTACAGCTGCAGTGTGTTTCTGCCCTTTTCCTTGCAGGGTTCTGGAGGCAGGCCTTCTGCAGGTGTTCTGTTTTGCCCTAATTGGTTCTCATCTGCTTTAAAAGCTGTCATAAAAGCAGCAGACAGGAGGCTTCTCCCTCTTTCCTCCTCAGAACCCCATTTGGTTTGGTTTGTATCCTATGGTTGGGTTTTGTTAGGTTTGTTTGCATTTGCTTATTTCTGTTTAGTTATGGGTTTTGCATTAATCCATTTTTGATTTTCCATTTTATTCATCCCTTTTTTCAGGTTTTGTTTCTTTAGTATAATTTAATAAATTCAATTTTCAGTTAATAAGAAAATCCTTCTGTGGTCTCCTGTAAAGTTACCCCCACCAAACGAGCCTGGTGGATGTAACAGGCAGTCTGTGGGAGTGGGGCTTGAATTCAGAACCTCAGGATTTCAACGCCCTAACCACTAGGCCGCCACACCCCAAAGCAGGCATTAGCATGAAGCGTCTTGCCTTAGGACCCACACTGGCAGCTTATTCCCCCCCAGCTGCGATACTAACCCAGGCTTCCAGCCAGCCACTTGTTTGATTCAAAGCTAAATCTTTTATTGCACCTGCAGTTCTATTCACAATGTATTTGTTTAAAATGATTTAGTATCAGGAACATAGTTGTACCATATTGAAATAAGAAACCCGATAGTGATGACTACAGGTATAACAAAACATATGCAAAACAAAACTTAAACTCTAAAGTGTAACTTAAAGTACCATACATTTTTGTACTTACCCAAAAATCCAACCATCATCAGAGCCTATTAGTTAGCCCCTGTTGACTATAGGAAGAATGTGTTTAATCACGTTTTATGTGTATGGTGATACCATACACATATAGACGAATTTAATGAGGCTTAAATTCCCTTTTAATGACATTTCTTAATCGTTTTAGCCATAACATTATTCTAGGTAGTCTAGGTCATTTGTATTTTCCATTAGTTTTTTTGTTTGTTTTTTTTTGTTGCTTCTCATTCCTAAAACAGAGGATGTACAAACTAAAGAACAATTGTGTTTGCAGAGAGGACTATCAGCCCTGACCTTGTCTCCATCAAGGAGTTTTACAGGGTCACGTAAAGGACAGCAGAGTCTCTGTGGACCCCACTCATCCTGGACGCAACCTGTGTAGGCTTTTACCTTCAGGCCAGCACTATAGACTGCTTTTTAAAAAATAAATAGCCACCATATAGACTGATCCTTCCTACAGGCTGTCCGTGAGTGAGTCCTTTCAGCTTCTCTCTTCAGGGGTGGTCACAGCAAGTCATCACTACTTGCACAATGTCTAATGAAAACAACAGACGTCTTAAGCCCAAGTAGCTATAGTTTATTTACTCTAAAACATAGCACAATTATATCGCGATAAAGCAAATCTTATTTTACATTTGTTTAACTCCCATCTTTCTGTTTTCCTTTCTTGCTTTAGACAGTATAGTGTGTACATGCTGTTCATTTTATCCTCAATTTCCCCTTGTTTAAACACTTAAAGCTTTAAGCATGTGAAACTCATATTTAAATCTTCTTAAGCATGTCCCATGTATGTTGGGCAACAGCTTTTAAACAAATACAAAATATTTCAGTACTTGTAAAAGGATGTAAATAGCATGATCTCTAAAAGATTCTGTAACACCTTACAGATGCAAAATTCTTATATTCTTTGTTTAATTTCCTCTCCCCCCCAAAATTGATTGTAATCACAATAATGAGGTTAGGCAGGAGTGTTCCTTAAGAGCTTGAGTCCCAACTCTATTATTAGGACTGACTTTACAGTCACACACATACTGGATAGCTTTAAATATTATTACATGCATGGGTTTTACTACTGTATATCTGAATTAGCACAATTCTTGTGGTGGGGATTGAGAAACAGATGATGCTTTATAATTTGGCCTTTATGATACAAATTTAGTATCATGTTAACCTTGTCTAACAAAAAGCAAAGTAAATTGTTGGATTTCTGTGTCAGTCCAAAAACACCATTACATCCTAAACAGGTGATACACTTGTTACACAGTTGCTTTTGTGGCTGGGCTGACACTACAGAAAACAAAGGTTAGAGTCAATTTTAATTTCTTGCCCTTAAGAGGTTTTAAATTAATCAAGAAAGAAAAATAAAATACCAACAAAGGAATTATCAAAAGATAAATCTGTATTATAGAGTGGGACATTGTGGTCACCTCATATAAAGGCAAAAAAATTATAGCTTTTATCAAACCTTAATCCATTCTCTGCTTCAGGGGGAATTGTGTAGAACTACTCTTTCAGTCATGATTTGTGATACACAGGGACCAAATCACATCTTTTGTTAAAAGATGAGAATTTGTCTACTTTAAAAAATTGACAGCTTGTTAATATGCAAAACAACACTGAATATTAGGTTTTTTTGTAAAATCCCTATTGCGTTCAAAATGTTTTTTGTTCCGTTTGACTTATTTTTTGTTTTATTCCTATTGGAGTCCACCACTCCCTCTTATAAGCCAGGTTTGTTTTATGTTTTTATGGATTTAGTTAAAAGTAAATCAATATAAAAAAATATGATCAGTTATTAAACCACTGTTCAATTAATTTATCAGTCATACATCTGTCACTTGTAGCAGAGAGATATCTTTTTAAGGAATTTGTTGAAAAGTTAATACATATTCTCTTTAGTAGGACATAAAATAATATGAAATGGAACTGCTGTTCATCTGCCTGGCTGTGTGTTTCCTGGACGGGGCCGCCTTTTACAGTTGCCTTTCGTATCTCTGCTTCTGTCTCCTTAAACCCCATTCGGCCTCAGCAGATGGCCGCTCACACTGAGCCTGGTTCTGCTGGAGGTTTCTTCCTGTTAAAAGAGAGTTTTTCCTCTCCACTAT